AGAGATCCAGCTTGCATTCCGCCTGGTCGATCGCCAAATAGAAAGAATACTGCGTTAGATCGTAGTCCAGAATCGACAAGGGCTTCGATGGCTGCTTGGCTTCTTGCGGAATCGACATATGCGAACACGCGTTGATCGCAGAAGTCCACATTTTGAAGAATCGATACCCCACCGCCAGCTGACTCAGCACGATCTCCCCCGCGATTTTACCCACCTACAGAAAAGGGGAATCGGGGAAACTACATGAAGATAGCCGGAGGAGAAGGACCAGTTGCTTAGAGGATGGGAGAACGGGATCTAGATGGAAACGTGGAAACGGAGGTACGAAGTAGAGAGAGCATTCGATTGGCGCGATGGAAAGCGAGAAGAGGGAATTGGAGGGATTCAAAGCGACGGAGAGCGAGTCCACTGCACGTGAATGAAGGAAAGGAGAAAAACGGGAAACGTGGAACGAACTGAACGCGCAGTTCTCGTCCTCCATCGCGCGAATGAACATCGAATAGGAGCAATTCACCGCTTCTGTGCAATGAATTTAACGAGCCATCAGATTACTCGGAAGGGAAACCTCAAGAATCACCGAATCCGACGGCTTTTCGACATCAAAACTGCTCACCAGCTTGATCGACGGGAGAATCATCTGTCCGATACACGTGATTCCCACTACGCCTCACTCCAAAAACCCGATCACACTTTTATTCGGGCTCACTGGAAGCAGCAGATCGTCCGCGTAAAAAGACGATCGCAGTTGCATTCCTTCGGGCAAATCTTCGTGCGTCAGTGCGGAATCGGCGATGGAATGAAGCGGAAGATCGGCCGAACTGGACAGCGAGCCGAAGTAAGAGAGGAATTCGATGATTGGCGGAGCGATGGTGACCGAACTAATCTCCACGCTGATTGTTGCAGTGAGAAGCGATTCTTTGTGCGACGTGAGGACTGGAGAAAGCAGGGAAATGCGACACACCGGGAAGGAAATCTCCGCCGCTTTTTTATGTGGTTCTAGTTAGTAGAAGAAAAAAGGATTCTCGAACGGTGAGCGTCTGCGTAGACTTGAATGGAGCCTGGGTTATCGACATGGACGACGGCTTCGATCATCATCTTGTCGGAGAGTTCGGGAGGCGAATCCACGGACGCTTCGTTGGGGTAGAAGGAAGAAGAGTCGGGATTGTCTTGAGGGGTGGAAGAGGAAGAGGAGGAAGAGAAAGGAGGAAGACGATAAATGTAGTGAATGAGAGCGAAAACGGATTGGTCGATGCGAAGTTCGGGAGTTGTGATTCCGACTATTCGATCATCATTCAAAGCAGAAAGGAAACGATTCAGCTTGATCTGCGGGTTGTAGGAACTGAACGACTCGCCATTGGTGAGCGTTTTCCAATAACAATTCAGCAATATGGACTTCAGTCTACCTCTCAATCGCCTTCAGCGACCCATACAAGAACACAGTGGTGGCTTCGTTGATGTAGGACTGCAGATTGATCAGACGACTCCACACATCCTCCTCAGCATGCGAGATCACTGCCGCCTTCAATTGCTGAAGCTTCGCAGTCTGCGATCGTCAGACCGATTCAATGCTTACCATGACCATGAGGGAATCGTGCTGACGCAGCACTCGCTTCAAGCCAAAACTGATCTCTGAAATATGCAGAACGAGGCTTTGATGCGTGATCGATTCCACGATGGGCTTCGTCATTAGCACCATATCCAAATCAGTGAGTGCGATCTTACACACAAAGCTACGAATGATTAAAAAAAGCTAGAAGAATGAAGAGTACGATGATTCGATCGTGTTTTCGAGAGGAACGACGGATTGCTTCGGGGCTGGCTGCTTTGCGATTGGATTGGGAGAGCGGATTTGATCCAGCCAGGACAACAGAACGATTTGGAAGTTTTCGAGAGCGAAGAAGTAGGGATGGTTGAGTGTCACGCCTAACTTCGACTTGGAATCTTCCTCTTCGTATTGAATGCCGACTTTCAAGAACAGAGAAGACAGATAATAGGCTATGCAGTAGACGCAAACCAATGCGGATTACTCTTCTTGACGTCTTGAGATCGCGTGTAATTGATTGGCTGAAGCGTGTTATACAGAGCGATTTGATCGATCAGAATCGACAGCTTCCCGTTATCTCTCCTCCTTCTCTCTCCCTACCTGCTTCGTCATGCTCAAACTGCCGCCCAAATGCAGCCCCGTGCAGATGAATTGAACCACGTTATTGTTCCCATCCACCGCCGCTTTGACCACCAAATCCACTCCCTTCAGCAGCACTTTGCACGTGTACGGCTTCACCGTCTTCGGCTCCAGCTTCTCGTCGCGATGCTCCGCGTTGAGGAATCCTGACGGCCCGCTCGAAGCCATCGCGGACTGGAACGGATTGGAACTCGACGTCGCTGAGGGATTGGAATGGAAGGACACAAGCGTCGCGGAATAGTTCAGATTTCCGTCATTGGCAGGCTGCGGATCCGTGTAGACGGGAGTCTGCAGCTGCTTCACTTTCTCCATGATGTTGAACCACTTATGATAATGCTCGGTCTCCTTCACCATCTCCAGCTGCAAAATCAGTTTGTCCTACCCGTAAATTCCTTCCATAAGCCTTACCGTAATGTCCATCATCATACTCACTTGTCGACTTGTCAATTCCAGCTTCAGCAGATCCACTTCCAGCTGCACGGCCGTTACATCTTCGCTTACCGACACCCCGCCATCGCTGGTGTACACCGACGGAGCGTGCGATGTGCGGCCCGAGATGAGCGGCAGTGTCGCGGAAGAAGGGAAGCGCGTGTGCATTCGCTGCCGCGAACTGTTGAGCGATTGCTGCGAGACTTTGATCAGCAAATTCACTTCGGGGAGCTTGGAAGCGGGGAGAAGTCGCTCCGATCCGCCCGAAATCGGCTTGCTCAGCTCGATTTCGTGTTCGAGAATAAGCAGGAATATGGACTGCATGGTGTAGGAGGCCGTGAAGTCGTGAAGCGTGTACGTGACGTAGAAATCCGGAATGAATTGGATCTGAAGCGAGCAGTCGCGGACCGTCATCGTTATACAAACGTCTCGCTTCCGACCATCGCCCATTTTCACATCGTTCCCCGCGGCTCCCGTCGATCCCACCAGGGTCACGTTCTTCTTCACCGTATTCGCCATGCGCTTCATCTTCGTCGCGCCTTTCTGGAGGATGTTCTGATGCGTTCCGCCTATGAGATCCGCGGAATTGCTCATTCCCATCTGCCCCATCGTGGTAAACGAAGACGAAGATCGATGGTGCCCCGCGATTTGCGTTTTAAACTGGTTGTATTTGGAGTAGGCCGCCACGCCCTCGTTCACGTAATCGATCAGCAAGTCCTGCAGTCCGGAGAACTTTTTCAGATAGAGCGGAAGGGTGAACAAAACGGACTCGACCGAGATGTTGGGACACATCGCGCTTTTGCTGATCGGAATGTACACGTTCGCGTTCTCAATCGATACGAGAAGCTTGTCGCCAAAGCTCTCTTTGCGGTGTCGATTGTGCATCACGGCGTCTTCCACGACGATCATGCTTTGAGAGAGCTAGGCATAACATAATAACCTCGTTTCCAACATCGATCATCAATGCCTGGAACGCCTTTCCGGAATCGTAGTTCTCGCGAACGGGATCGTACACACCAGGAGAAGAGTGATAGGACAGGAAAACGGCTTGGTTTTTGAGGCAGAGAGTGTGAGCGATCTCTTTGGAATCGGGCAGGAAGGAGAACGAGGAATCGCGAAGGGCGAATTGGAACACGACCGCCGACTTGATCCGCAGCCGCTTCTTGCTTCGCTTTGTGTCCTCTCTGGAGGTGATTCCCTAAGATCACACGCTTTTCTCGTGTCTACATAGAAGGAAGCGAAGGGCGAAGTGGGCGCGGGATCGATGTTATACACCATGGACTGATCGGAGTCGCTGTCCTGACTGATCTCGTCCGGATTCTCCTCTAACTGCTGATGAATGTTGCGACGTTTCTCTTTGCGATTGGGCGACGGCTCCATGAATTGGTGATAGAACAGCTCGCCCAGAAGGGAAGAATCGAAGATTACTGGACGTTACAATAACACAAGAAAAGCAAACGGAAGATTCCAGTGCGATGGCGTCGATAGGAAAAGCCGTACGTCTGGCAGAGTCGGTATTTTCGCATCTCACAATGCGAATTGAAAACAGGAATTTCGGTACTGTTCGACTTCAACAACTGCTGCAACGTCTCCTGTTTCTGCAATTCTAAGAAGGCCTCGACGAGTTGATATCCTTCTTGAATGAGTCGCGGGGAAATCTTCACTAATCGTCACACCGTTCCTCTCAAAAATACCGTCGAAATGGTTGTTTCGCACACTGGCATTCACGTCTTTGACCTACGCATCAGTCTTTCCTTTCCATAATCGACTCCGTCGACGACGTTGAATGACTCGCTGAGATCGATGTTGAACTGATGGTTGACCAATTCGAAAATGTTTCCAGTGCTTTTTGTGCTGTGTGGATCGTGGAGCTTCAAGGAAGGATTGATGATCAGATTGCAGTTCAGAAGCTGGAACGACAAATCGATCAAAGTATCGGATTGGCCTACGCAATGAATGGATGAAAATAGAGAAATACGCTTCTGTGTGTTGATCGTATTCTCCGAATATTCGCTTAACAGCATCACCGACATCATGCTCTTTGTATTCGGCGATGTTATCGACTCCAATAAATGCTCATAGTCCGTCGGAAGCGGCAGACGCGACCCCAGAAGCGTCGAATAATCCACGTCCCACTCCTTCTTCTTGATACACCCGGAAATCAGACGGTTCACTTCCTGCACGGCATCCGAAATCTCGCGGCTCGACGTGCCATTGCACAGCATGTACAGCTGATAGGACGCCACAACCGTCGGCCATCCATACACTACGATCGATCCAATCCGCAGTCCAAACGCATAGGCGAAAGCAACGTCGGGTAGATATCGTACTCGTTCACCGAGTCTTCGTTTCGCCGCAGTCCTCCTTTTTCTTCGGTGAGTCGAGGAAGCTATCCATCATCTCTCCATCCCACAATCACGTTTTGAAGCAGTCCGTACTGAAGGAAGGACTGCTGATAGCGCTCGCACGCGCTGGTCATCCGGAGCTTCATCACGATCTCTTCGATCGCCTGCACAACGCCCATTCGCATCACCACATCCGACGTTTCCTGCCTCAACTCCAAGAGCTGCATGCATTGAATCAGCATGTCGCAGCTGAACTTGAGCGTCACGTTCTCCATCTGGATGTTGAACTTCTCGTTCTTCACCACCGCCGTGTCGTTATTTGCACGCGATTTCATTTCCAGGCTCAACGACGACTTCGAGTTCAGATTGATCAGCCCGATATTCAGAATCATCGGACTCAATCGCAGCGGTTTCAAGTTCGTTTCCTTCAGGTAATGCGGTGCAACGAGCTGGTAGTTGCAGCACACTTTCACGTTGCTCACTTTCACAACCTGCGAGCCCAAATTTCCCTCGTGAAGTTCCGGCGATTTCTGCACGTTCACGCCGCGCTGCGAGCTCTGCGTGTTGTTGATGCGCGAGATCTCCTTCATGAAGTCCTCGTCGAGCGTTCGGTTGATGTAGATGATGTTCTCGATCTCCAGACCCATGATGAGCAAGTGCATGCCGCTTCGAGAGAGCTGCTGCGATTTGGGAGGCGCGAAGGAAGGGTTGTAGGGAGAGCAGGAAGGTCGTTCTTCGGTTCGGAACAGTGCGTCCATGTTGATTTTGCTGCCCGTTACGATGAGATTCGTTTTCTTCGCGGCGGAAAGCGGATGTTGCCCGCCTGGATTCGATTTCATTTCTCAAAAATTTACTCGTCACGTTGTACTGGAATTGATAATCCTCGCTTGCGGGCAGCGGCATCTGCGATCGGAGATAGCGCTTGCTCCATCGACTCAGCACCGAAATCGAGGAAACTGGCTCGTTCATTGGAATGTCCGCCAGGTCGCTCAGCACGTCCAGCAAATCTTCGGAGACGGTGATTCGCGTGTTGTCGTCGAAGTTCACTAGAATCGTCTAGCGCTCACTTCTCTTCTGGAGGCGTACCGTCGACGGATAGAAGCTCGTGTCCGTCACAGAGCGAGGCTTGTTCGTCGGTCGTTCCATCGCATCGTTTTCGGTCAGCAAAACGTGAGAGAGATTGTAGAGCTGGTCGAATAGGTTGGGATTCACCGTGTTGTTGGGGATCTTGCTGGTGTTTCCTCCGATCCAATACACTACAAATTCACTCGGATGCGTTCGTTCTACTTCGAGGAATGTCGTGAACGCATTTGCATACGATCGAAGGTCGTGAAGGCTTTCTATGCGTCACACACAGCACACTCGCCGACTGCACGCCACAACGCGGCATGTAGGAAACCGACCATTCGCACAGCACGTCGCTGAGGATCGATTCGTCCATTTCCTCCTCTTGCTCCTGTCGCTCCACCGGGAGATCTACCGATCATTAGTCCTCCCAGTCTCCCACCGCTTTCGCTGGACTCGTCGATGCTCTCAAACGTGACGGTGCGTTCCTCCTCACTGCTGTCTCTAATGCTTTCGAACTCGTCCTCCGACGTGCTCAGAATCGACTCCATTTCATCGCTAATCGCATCGAATTCACCCGTCTGCGACAAACTCAGCGGCTCGCCCGCCTTCTTCAGCGACTCAAACAGCGCGCGCTGATCCTCCTCCGATCCGAAATTCTGCGACAAACGCTGCGAATGCGCGCGAACCAATGGCACTTGGCTGGACTCGTTGTTGCTGAACTGCATAATAAACTGCTGGCGAAGCTGGATGTTCGCTGCGGAGTGGATTCCGCCCACGGCTTCTTTGATTCGGCGCGCGAGATCGTTGCAGAGATTGTAGTGATTGCTGTATTCGTTGTAATGACAGTCCAGCGCCATGCCGCGGTTTCGCTGCGTGAGCAATCGGCAGCGATCGACGGCCTGAATAAACGCTTTCTGGAGCGAAGACTCGCGCATTTCGACGCCACTGCTGTATCTACGATCGATCGGGGAAATGGAGAAGGCAGTACATCGCGATTCGCATCGTGCAGAGCACTTCGCCGATCCCTAAGAAGCGTTGATGGCTGAAGCTATCGAGAAGAGTTTGCTCGTTTTCGGATGGGGAAGTGATAGAATCTTTTAATGAGGACGTCGGTCCCGAGACGTAGTCGACGCCTTTCAATACGCGCAGAACGAGCGTGGGAACGTTGACGATGAGGCGAGATCGCGAAGAGAGCGTGATGATGGTATCGAATTTGACGGAAATGGGGTTGGGGATGGAGAGTAAAAACACGTTGCTCAGCGAGGAATAGCGAATCAGCTTCATTGGGATGGATTTGCAAATGGAGTTCGGATAACTGACCAAGACAGTCACCGAAGGAATGCCGACTTTGATGTCCGAAATCATAAAGCGGAACATGTAATGCATCGCCAAGTCATAATTCTCGTTCATTCGATCCATCGAGATCATCGATTCCGGCGTGGACACATAGCCGAACGTTTTGCTCCGCGTTCCCAAATTGTCGAATTCGTCGATCGCAGCATTCAGCGACTCCACGATATTCGGCGAGCCCTCGCCTTCCTTCTCGTTGTTCATATCGATCTTCACCGAGTTCCCGTCATCCTCGTCCAAATGAATCACGCACGATCCAGACCGAATCCCATATTCGCGATACTGTCTCATGGGAACCGTCGGAACGGGCAGTACTTTCGGAAGCTGCTGGTCAATCCACGCATGCAGAAGCCTACTTTCGGCTTGTAATCGTAGTTAATGTCCGCAGCAGCGATCGGACTGCTCGATCGTGTGTCGTATCCACAATTCGGGAAGAACAAGATGGACTGCGTCTCCTGCTTTTTCATCACGGCGAGGAGCGCGAGATTGTCCACCTTCCCGATTCCGATGCATTTGCGGAAGGAGGATCGCGTGATGATGAAGAGATAGACGTAGAAGACGCGGTCGAGAGTGTAGACATTGAACGAATGCTCGGCGTGGAGGTCGCAGACCAGCTCGGACGTTCCCTTCTTTTTTAGCTTGACTCCTTCGGCTTGCTTCGAATACGTGCAGTAGAATTGCTCATCGAAAACCATGGTGACGTACACAGACACCACTTCATCGGTCGACGGAATAAACGGAGTGAAAAGCCGCAGCGAATTCAGCGAGACGCTCAAATACCCCAGCTATACGTTCATTCGCTTGAACCAGGCGTACAAACTGCGATTGGACGCGATCTGCATTCATCGCAGCGTCAAAAGAGAAGAGCCAGTTATCGATCTGATTTATAGCGTGATTCAGCGATTGGGCACTCAGCGATCCATTCAATTGGCCGATATCCGCATCGCATTTTCGATAGTACGTGATGATTGGATAGAACGCATAGGCGTTATTTCTATCATAATAACACAATTAAAAACACAAAATCGTACAGCTGCTTTAGATGGATGTGAATCGGATCGAGAGTGAGAAGATTCTGATTGGGAGTGGAAAAGGGAGTGTTCTCAACGCATGGAATAATAATATTGATGGGCGTGGTCGATAGATTCATATCCAAAACCGAAGGATTCGTTGCGAACTCCACGCTACACGACGAAAGCGAGCACAAAATCGAGTTGTCTTTGCTGGGCTCGCGAATCATCGGGTTCGACAAATCGCCGTGATGCGAAGGCGCGAACTGCAGAGCCGAAGGAATGAATAACTCGCCCGGCAGCTCGATGCGGACTTCTGTTAACGTGATCGTTGTGAACGAGGTGAGCTGGATCAAAACCCGATCCCAAAGAGTACAATATTCACCTTATGCTTCCGGAAATCGTTCAGATACTTCAGATAGAACGCCATTCGGTTGTTGTTCTGCATGGCCGCGTACTCTTCTTCCGTGATGACGTACTGATTCACACCCAAAATATTATTGATCAGATTGAACAGATGCGAATAGACCTCGCCGTAGAAGATTAACCGCGGGGAATCGATCCCAATCGACATATAAATCGAATCCGAAACGTCATCGGAGACCTCCGGATGCGCGTTGTATTCGCCTTGAATCTGAATGTACTGGCAGCCCAAGAAATCCGTCGTGTGCTCGCCGTCTCCATTTCGAATCTGCCCCACGGGATTGCGTCGATGCGGCCTGAATGACACCACGATCGGGTATTTGCCCTGGTCATTCGACATGTCGCCGAGCAGAATGGAGAACGCAAAGGTGGTCAGCGCGTTGTAGTGAAGCTGCGGAGCCGAGATGGTGACGGCGAAGGAGGAGAGGGTGAATTGGAGATAGTCGTATTGATCAGTGAGCGTAACGTCGTTCACGACGTTGTCTTCCACTGTGGGAATGATGAGGCTGACATCGGAGACGGACACGGAATAACTGAACGTTACAAAAAGGGAATTGGAAATCAAACATGTTTTCGCTTTTGCAAAAATACTCGTAGGCGTGATTGGCGTACATGCCGAACCCAGCGAGCAGGTCGATCACCATGTTCACGAACGTGTAATAGAACGTCATTTTGAACCCATCGATCTTCACGATGATCTGCGTTTTGTACAGCCCGGTGAAGGAGAGCGGGTATTCCATTAGATAATCGATGTCCATCGACTTGATTTGAATCACAGAGTCGATGTATTGCGGGTCTTTCACCGTCACGTTCTGGCTTCGCACGCGGAACGCCGTGACGTTGTCCGATTCCTTCAATAGAATATTCGGGATCGTCACTTCGATCACCGTTCCCTTCCGAAACTCCAAAAACAGCGATCTAGCCACTAGCATTCGTCCCTTCTCTCCTACTTCGATTCAAATCCGTGCTGATTGCTCTCGCTGATCGGTCCCTCCACCGACCGCACTTCCTCTTTCGCTCGTTTCAAATCGAACAGCGGGTTATCTGGCGTCACCACAACGCCTACACGTCAATTTTCATCGTTGCTTCCACTCGTCGACGCCTGGAATGGGACTCGCAGCAGCAAATTCGACTGCAACGTGATCGTGCAGCGCGTCTCGAACGGCTCGCGCGTAGCTCCCACTTTGGGCTTGTACAGCTTCACATCGCCGTAATACACGGGCAGAAAGTAGTGAACCAGGTTGAGCAGAATGCTGTTGATGTACGGACCGTACGTCAAAATCGCGCTGTAATTGGAGTACTTCGCGTCATTCATTCAAACACAAACAGAGTACATAGGTGTTCTGACCCTCGATCGAGATCTCCAACGCAAACTGGGGAAACGTGGAAATCGTGGTCGAGGTGATGGTCCCAGGAGCATCCATGAGGAACGTCAGAACGACATGTCTACATCGAATTCGATCGAATCGACGCACTCTCCAATGAACACGGCCGGTTCCGATGAACCCGAGCCCGATCCCCCCGATTCTTCGCTTCGCTGCTTCGCCTTCCCGCGCCTTTCCCCGTTCTCGTCCTGTCCCTCCGTTTCTCCGTTCTCTCCCATCTCCTCAGTTTCCCCGGTTTCCCCATTTTCATGGGTCTCTCGCTCCGGTTGTTCCGTTGTGTACAATCTTCGCGTCAACTCTGAGTAAAGAAAAAAGCGCACCGGCTTCCTTCGCGCCACGTGTGCACGTCCTGATCGATGCCGTTCTTCAGCTCCACGAGCGAGTCTTTCATCTGCCGGAAGGCCAGTTTGATCCAGGTGAGCGAGTTCATCAGGTTCACGTGCTGCGCCGCGTTGGCTCCGTTGCTTTCGCCGTAATATCCGGGGTGTTTCAAGCACCGAATCTCCACGCCCGTGCAGTCCGCGCCCGTGATGATTCGGTAGAGATCGAACCCGCGGTTTTCCTAAATTGGAAGCGGAGAGGAGAGCGACTTTGATGCAGTTGCCGCAGAGGTTGTTGAGGATGCAGCGATTGGAGTGGACGGTGATGAGATACGGTTCCACGGGGGTGCCCGCGTAGATGTTCAGACTGTGGACGACGACTTGGAAGGAGTGAAAGAGTCGGTAGATCAGAGGAAGCGGGGCGGAGGACATCTGAGTGTGAGAAACATAAAGGAGAGAGAGATGAAACGTTAATGGGAGGAGGTTGCCGCTTCAGGTTCTGCTTCTCGAGTTTTCGGAGCCGCTTTTGCTTTTCTCGGTAGTCTTCGGCTTTCTTTTCGGCGGGGATGGGCGTTTCGCCGGGCTTCTTCTTCTTTTCTTTTTCTTGCTGAGGGGATGAGCAGGAAAAACAAGAAAACCTACCTCGTCGTTCTTTTCGTCAAGGAACTCTTTCATCATTTTGTGCTACTTCTGAGAGACGCTTCCAATCACTACCACTTGCTTGTACTTCTCCTCGTTGCCATAAGCAAAGATTTCGAGTCCCTTGGCTTGGATAGACAGACACTTGTCAATCCCTCCCCATACATGAAACATGATACTCACATCGAACAATTCGACTAGGAAATCCTGCGTACAATACCTGCATATTAGCTTTTATGAACGTTTCACTCACTTTACACGCGTAAAACGAAGAACGCCATTCAGAGGATAGAAGTAAATGCTATGAATACTGAGCTCTTGGTCTTTCAAAAAGAGATTTATCAATTTAATTATGATCCAAGTTATTACGATAGGTAGCTGGCAATTAAGGAGAGTAAACCCGATTATGCAAAGGATATGATATACACGGTCGCTATGATTGCGAGACCATACAAAATGCACCAAATGCCGACGCCATAGGGGATCTCTTTATTGAAGTAGAACTCTTCGAAAACAATCCACCATGGAATAGGCTCTGGTGTTGCTGTTACGTTCATTCTATAGAATCCAATAGATCAGTAAAGAATTCCTTTAACAAACAATTTTATTGACATACCATGCAGTATTACATCCCAAAAATAAAAAACAAAATTAACCAGTGCATTTCCCCTACCATCACACAAAATTCAACTCCACACCAACACCCTCGCCATCTCCCCATCCCGTTATTCTTGCGTCCTCTCCTGCTTCTGCTTCTGCATCTCCTCCCCGCTTGCAGCCGCCTTGTTCTCTGCGCCTAGAGTACTCCCAGTCTTCTCTCCCTGCTTTGCATTTCCAGTTTTTTCCGCTTCCATCTGCTTTGTTTGCCTCTCTTTTCCCTCGCTCCCCCCTTGTTCGCGCTCTTTCTGCGTCCTTCTCGGCTCCCTTTCATTCGATGCCGACAAATCCTGCCGTTGCAACCTTAATTGCAGTGGCTCGGGCAATTGCAGCTGGATCGGCGTTGCCGACACCAATTCGTATAGAGGGACGCTTACAAATCCGCAACAACGCAGCTGCGCCGTTTCAACCGGCGTTTGGACGAAGCTGAGAGGCACAATGCCCATCGGGGTGTTCAGGAGGGGGTAATCGAATCTCCGTTTGGTAGACGAATTGCCGATGGGCTTCGAGATGTGGATAACGCGGTTTTGAAGGTGACGTTTGGCATTAAAATGGGGCGTGTGTGAAAATGCGCTATCTGGAGAGGGACGCTTGAGGTAGAGCGAGTGGAGAAGACGCTGGTAGTCTTGCATGGTTAATACTTTGATGTTGCTAGGGAAGGGACTGTTCTGCTCGAAGGACATAGTTCCATCGATTGCATCGATAATGCTGGAGTCGATGAGTTCGCTAAATGGGAAATGGTGGATAAACGTACACGGCGGCATTGAAGTGCTGTGAAACTTGCCGAAGATTGGAAGGCGATAAATTGTCGCTGTTGTTTTCGTCATCAAGGTAGTTGCTAATATACTAAATGTGATCACCAGAAATGAAAAGGGTACATATGACACGTTTTCAAACTCAATATCCGTCATCGACTCCTTCCCAAATATTTTCTACGCCTCGAATATATTAATTTCACCTACAAATCTTCTGTATAGCTTAATCATCAATTGTTTCCACAACATTCCAGATTCGGTCTCTAGAAATACTTCAAAATTGGCATCCTTTCCAGATCCATCTTTTACATAAAGTTTTGCCTCACTGTACAGCTTTTCAGCCAAAGATCGTTCAATCAACCCGATATTTTTGTGTTCTGCGCATAATTTGTCATATCTACACAAAGATAATCGAAGAATACCATACCTTGAACAGTAATATTCATCACTCTTGTTTCCAATTCGGGGCGATATATATTTCCATCCTCCAGACCCGAAATTCAATGCCCACTGTATAATCACTTCGTCCTCCATTTATAAACTGATTGTATATCCGCTGCAGACCGTTTGATTCCATTTTCGTTTTATTTCGTATTCAACAAACAGATCAGCAGCAATCGCGGCAGTAGCAGTGGTAGCAGCAGCGGCAGGGCTAGGTTTACCAGCTGAGGAAGTCCTCCTCGATGGGGGTTCCGGCCTGGAGTTCCTCGGCCTCTTCTCCGAAGTCTTCTTCTTCTTCTTCTTCTTCCTGCACGGCCTTCTTGGCGGGCTTCTTCGCCGCCTTCTTCTTCGGACGCTCCTCCTCTTCCTCCTCTTCCTCTTCTTCCACCACCTTGCGAGCCGCCTTCTTCACGGGCTTCTTCTTCTTGGGTCGCTCTTCTTCCTCTTCCTCTTCCTCGTCGTCGTCATAGCGCGACGCCTTCTTCGCGGGCTTCTTCTTCGGACGCGGACGCTCCTCTTCCTCCTCGTCCTCCTCGTCATCATAGCGTGAAGCCTTCTTCTTTCTCGGTCTGTAATCGTCGTCATCGTCGTCATCGTCATAGCGCGACGCCTTCTTCTTTCTCGGTCTGTAATCATCGTCATCGCTGCTCTCGCGGAATCGCATCCGATCGGGCTGCGACCGATTGCCCATCACGCCTCTCCGCTTCGGTCTCTACGCCTCACCCGTGCTTCCTTCTCTCCCTACTCCCACCTCCGTGATCACTTCATCGTCGAACTCCGACTCCGACTCTTCCTCCTCCTCCGACACCGCGTCGTCGTGGAAGTTGCTCGCCACCATCTGCACGCGCCGCGGCACGCGCTTCCCCACCTTCGCCTTGATTATTTTGAACAGCTCCACCGCCGACGCGCGCTTCTCCGGCTCCGGCGTCAGCATTCGCTTCAGCAGATCCACCAGCTCGGCGGAGTAGCGATGGCGCGGCGGGATCGTGTACTTGGCGCCCAGAATGGCCAGCTTGCTCGCGTTGAGGAACGGCTGCTTGAGGAACATCAGCGTGTACAGAATGCAGCCCAGCGCCCAGATGTCCGTCTTCGGCGTGATCTCGCTCACTCCGAAGAAGTCCACCATCTCGGGCGCGCGGTACATCTGCGTCGTGTACTTCTCGATCTGCTCTTCCTCGCGGTCCACGTCGTCCTTCGTCGCCAGCTTCACCGTGCCGAACACCACCGACCCGAAATCGATCAGCTTCCAACGACCGTCCTTCCCCTGCATCACGTTCTCCAGCTTCAGATCGCGGTGCACCAGAGGAGGGTTCTGCTTGTGCATGAAGCCGATCGCGTTCACCAGATCGTACATCATCTCCCAAATGTCCTGCTCGGGAAGGTACTTCTTGTCCTTCTCCAGCACCTTCAGGTAGTCGAACAGACCGATCGGACACAGCTCCATCAGCTCACGAGCCTCCCAGCCGCCGGGAGCCTTGCGCTTCTGCAGAGCGTAGATCTTCGCAATGTTCGGGTGGTCGCGCACAATACGCAGCACCTTGAACTCCTTATCCAACAGCTTCTCCATCTCGGGGGTCTACCATCACACCAAACACGCTCCTCTTACCTTGCAATCCATTCTCTTGAGCACGTACTCCTTGTACGTGTCCTCGTCCATCGCCTGGTACACAATAGCGTAACCTCCCTGTCCCAACTTCTTTTTCAACTGAATCACACGGTGACCCATCTTTAATCTTCCCAAAATCTGGGGCTGAGCAGTTTGCTTATTCTCGGTGGCCGGAGCGGGTTTACTCACGTAAGCCCTTCTTGCGGGCTTCTGGTCCTTGTTTCCCAAAATTCCTTCCTTCAAACGGAGCATTCTAGCTAATACCCTTTCGAAAACAAACCAAAATGAATAAGAAGAACATCTTCCCACTATTTGGGACCAATCCACTCAAAAGGCCCCAATTCTGAAACAAACACAGAAAAACCACTATTCTCTAAGATACATCAACGCTGACTGTCCTGTTTTCTTCAAAGCGATCTTGACGAACGATGGAACGATCGGAAGCGCTGTCGGGGCTGCTACAACTCATGAAACCCTTTCTGTTTCTCACTGGTTGTTTCATTTTTCTTTCCAAAAAGCGAATAGAAGACGATGGCGACGACGATCAGCACAACGAGAATAAAAACGAGGCCCATGATAATCTTGTCCGTCATCATTCGAACCAGATAGGTGCGAATCAGCTAAACATATTAGTAGAGTGCAGAACGATGCAAACCTGCTCCGATCGTTTTAGTTGATTATCAATATCCTGCACATTCCCCTTCATTCCTCCAATCTGGTCAGTTTGGTTCGCTAAAGTTTCTGTTGTCTCCAACGCCACTTGCTTTGTTTCGTGGAGCAATAGGAGCGTGTTCTTAGCTGCATCAATCGTCTTTCCTTGGGTCTATTCCTTGTCATTATACAGTATTGCGTACCTGCAATGCATGCTGAATCAGCATATCTCCTCCTTCGACACCATCGGTCTTCCCTTCGCCAAATAGATCCTTGCGTTCCATCGATTGGAATTGGAATTTCAGGTCCGACTGCAGCACTTTGATTCGCTCAGAAAATGCAGTCTTTTTCTAGCAATCATACAAACGCTGTATTTGCACATTTAGATAATTAAATTGAGACTCTCGCGGAAGCTTCTTGATTTGTACAGCCAAAGCATCCAAATTATCTTTTGCTTCGTTCATCTACAACTCAGCGCAAAACAATGCAAATACAAGTTTTCTTGACTCGACCAACAGCGTTCTCTTGTCGTCGAGCGATGTATCCTGTGTGATTTGCCGATAGGCACTTTCGGCTTTGGAAAGCACATCTTCGACGTCATTGACCCATCCATCAACTGCTGCCATGATTTATTGATTGATTATGAATGAGATAATGGAGATATTGAATGATTTGGATCTGGAGAGATAGTCGCCCAATTTTCCGGAATTCCCAAAAGATGAATGAACTGGAAATCGTTGCAGAATTTTATCACTTATGAGTTAAATCCCTATTCTATAGAGATGAAATTTTGTGAATCATTCGCTTGATTGATTGTTGAGAAATGTGAGTTGCTCCATTTTCATCGTCCAATTCGTTTGTGTTTTGCTTTCCACGGTTCCTTGTAAACTTTGTAAAACTACTACTATCACTCTATTTATTATCATTATCATCTTTGTGCGTAGTTAAACAAACACGCCATTGCTTCTTGCTTAATTCTTCCAATTCCCTGAGATTCTGTTCATTTGTCTCGTCCATGGTGAAATACTCGGGATCGAAGAAGCACAATCGCACATAGCCATCCTCTCCTCCCGTAATAAAGCTACGCATCACGCCTTCTCTTCGCCCTCCACCTCTTTCCATCCGGATTGAACGCCACCGCGTTCATCGTTCCGAACGATCCCTTCACGCGTCCGATCTCCTCGCGCGTCGCGATATTAAAGAACAGACTCTACTCTTCACTCCGTCCTCGCTCGCTCGCTCACCTCCATCTTCTCCGAGTGCGTCGTCGTCACATCGCGCGCCTCCACGCCTCCCACCGCCACCAAATGCTCGCGGATCGGCGACAGCGCCACGCTGTTCAGCGCGCGGTCCGTCGTGAACACCATCAGCTCCTCCAGCGTCGTGGCGTCGAACACCTTCGCCTTCGCGTCCTTGCTCGACGTCGCCAGCAGCGCGCCGTCCGCCGACTGCACCAGCGAGGTGATCTCCGCGCCGTGCGCGCTGATCGTCTGCGTGATCTCGCCCGTCTCCGTGCTCAGCACGCGGAGCTTGCCGTCCGTGCAGCTGCGGGTGAGGAGGGGAGAGGAGAGCTACGCGAGGATGATCTCGCGGTCGTTGGCGCGCCAGAGCGCAGAGAAAACGTTTATGGGGGCGGGGCAGACGTTGAGGAAGACCGTGTCCTTGCCCTCGAGGTTCTCCACGCCGTTTGAAATGTCGAAGATGTGGACGGAAGGCTGGGAGTGAGAAAGGGACCGCAAGAATACTCCTTGTTTCGACCAGCACTGGCTAATCAAACAGAGGCGCTTGTCGTCGTTGCTCACCAACACACAACGAATGGGTCTGCCCAGATTAATGCAGCTCAAAGCTTTGCCCGTGTTCACCTCCCAAATATGGCTTGACCAGTCTGCGGAAGCAGAAAAAAGGTACTTTGTGTCACCTACAAGAGTGACGCAAAATGACACACTTCCATACTAGTAACATCAAGCTGGTAGACAGCTCCTGTATGTCCGTGGAAAATGCCGATTCTTTCTCCGGTATTTGCTCTCCACATCGTCGGAGTGTTATCTTTAGCGGCGCTGAATAAAACATCGCCATCGGGACTGTATTTCACATACGTGACAGCTCTTTCGTGGCCGTGTAACAGAATGGGTCTCTAGCAGTTAAAGAGCGATTCTATCATAATACCATGAGAATAGAATGGACGAAAGTGTAAAAAACAAGCAAAAAGTGCGAATGAAACTGCCACCTTCCTAGAATGAACGATTTTTGCACAAACAAATTGCAAACAAAGGTAATAAGTTGATTACCATTATTTCGAACCACCTAAAAGACTATCCACTAACCAGCTGGTCATTGTTCTATTTATCTCCTACACATCACGCACACCCTCCACTCTTACGTGCGTCACTTCCTCAGGCAGCATCTCCATATCAATTTCCTTATATTTCTTAGACAATTTCACCCAATATCTCGCGATGAAGGTCAATTGGAAGTCATGGAAAAACTGCGCCAAATAGGATTCGGAGCTTCCGTTTTGGCATTCGCGAGAGAAATCGTCCACGATATGCGTCACAAAGTTATATCGCGCCATCAGATAGCTCGTGGCGTCCGTAAAGGAGATGGACTTATCATACGAAGAATGATCTCTCCATAAAAAGTCTCCACACTCGCGAATCGATTGAGGGGATTTCCGCTGCAGCATGCTGAGACCCATATAGCGCATCACCTCTTGACTATCGCAGAGAGCATACTTTGGATCGAATTCGTTGAGAGCGAGCTTTACAATGCCGGTATTCTCGGCAATATTGACAGTGTCATTCATTTCATCCAGAGAAAAGCGAGTAGGCAGGGAATAGTTCGACAGAGCAACACAGATCTTCCCCTTTCTCTTGAGATCTTCCAATAGACTGCTTAAATGCTGGTATAAGGAAGCGAGGTCCATACCTTGTTGTGACCTGTCCTTACTCTCCGATTCCCGTACTTTGATTGGATATACAGAGCATTGATCTCCTAAAAAATAAAAGCATTGTAGAAAATCATACCAATACTATCGAGTTTAGAAACAGAAACATAATTCTTTGCTGTAGCTATTCCAATATATTGCTGATCACTGTTTCTCTCTTTGATATACTTCCGAAGAGTGTTGTCCACATTTATCCGACAAGTCCACTGTCTACTTGCATGGACTAAATGGTTCACAGAATTAAACCCGTTTCGAATGACTAGAGATGCCCCATTCTTGGCAACTGTGATGGACATGAAAATCGAACAAACAATGATAATTTGTTGATACTACAATCCTTAATTCCGTGAGAAGCAGCTACAACTAAGACCCCCGTGGCTCCACTACCCCAATCAGCTTCCTCACTGCGGAATTTTTATGATCGTGCCATGGACACCAGACACGATGTTCTGTGGACAAATTAAACAACTACGCATCACCCTTCGCCCTCAACTCGACTTTATCGGGCCCAGAACTTGCCGCGGTTCGAACTCGTTTCATGGTCTCAAAAGAAGATTCTAAAGATCGTTTGTGTGATGATTCGTCGTCCTGTGCGTCTCCCTGAGGAATCAAAGGCACAGACGAATCTCTCTGTGCGTCTTCTACCTGACTGTCGACTTGTGTTGCCTCTTGTTCTTGCGACGAACCACTTACCTGGGCACTTACCTGCACGCTCGCTGACTCCACTTCGAGGACTGGCGGATCGTTTTCTGGGAGAGAAGGCTGTGAAGTGTGAACCTGCGGAGGGGCCGAGTCATCATAATCTAGAGGAGCGAACGGATCTTCGTCCGGTGGATTGGTGGAAGGGAAGGCCGCGATTGGCTCTTCCGAAGAGAGAGAAGGAGAGGACGGCCTTGCTGCGTCCGCTGGCGAGGCTGACTCCAGATCTTCGATCAATGGTTGTTTCTGAGCGAACTCCTCTTCCATGGCATCGCCATTGATTGATTCCTTGGAGCAGTGGTCCAGTACTGCGTCTTCTTCGGGTTCATCCTCCAGTCCATCGTTTGACGAGATTCCAGTGGGCTCCACAGAGCGAGAATGAGATTCCTTTGCGAGAGGCGATTCGTCATTCTGTGCTGGATCGTTGTGTGGCTCGTTTTCATCGTGTTCGATATCCTTTACACCTACTTCAATCGGATCTATGTCGTTTGTTTCTTCTCCTTCTTCTTCTTCTTCTTCTTCTTCTTCGTTATGAATATCATTATCATTTTCATTTTCATTTTCGTCATTCTTTTCGATCGTTAAATCTTCAATAGACGCATTGTCGGAATCGTTCTTTTCCATCACTTCATCAAGATTTGGATAAGATTCGTTCGAACTAGCATCATTCGATGATATTTCAATGGCTTCTTCCTTATCATCATCTTCCTCTTCTTCTTCTTCTTCTTCTTCTTCTTCTTCCTCATCATCATCATTATCATCATCATCTTCTTCTTCTTCTTCTTCCTCGTCTTCATCTTCCTCGTCTTCTTCTGTTCCATTATCAATATCCATATCAATATCAGGAGAATCAGAATCATCCACATCAACTTCTTCGATTTGCATTTGACCATTTTCATCATTTTCATCGTTTTCATCGTTTGTGGATTCATTTTCGGTACTTTTAGCTTCGATATCGATCAATTCATTAGAAAGATAGCCATAACTCGAGTTGTCATCCATATCTTCAATGTCCTCTTCATTTTGAGATGAGGATTCAACTTCGTCATCATCACCATCAACACCTTCCTCTTCTTCTTCTTCTTCATCCATATCATTTTCAATTTCATTTTCATTTTCATTTTCATTACTGTTTTCTTCTTCATTCTCCACTTCACTATGGATTTCATTATCATCATCCACATATTGATCTTCTTCATTATCATTCATATATTCCTCCTCATTCCCAATTACAATTCCATTTTCATCATCATCATGAGGCTCATTTTCTTGATTATCCACATTATCAATTTCAATTTCATGATCCATTTCCTCCTCGTTATCAATATCATTTTTATCTTCCTCATTCTCATTCTCATTCTCATTCTTATTTTCCACATGATCATTTTCACTCTTTTCGCTCTCTTCCTTGTTTTCTATATCATGCTCATTCTCAATTTCCTCTTCATTTTCGCTCTCCAGCTGTCTAAAGTAATAAACTTCCTCCAACTGCTGGCCTGGCAATTCGCCATTGTTATCCCAAGCACTCAAATCATCGCCACCAAGAACCTCAGAAAAACGAAACACTCCTTCGTTTTCACCATTCTCATCATTTCTTGCTTCCTTTTCAATTTGGTTTTCGTCGTTCACATGTTCGGTTTCATTATGAAGTATGCTGCTATCCTCTACATTCATATGGCCATCCATTTCAGTTCCATTCTCCACAATCTGCGTGTTCTTCGTTTCCTGAACACTCGCAATTTCATTATGAGCGACTCTATTTTCATTTTCATTCATTGGCAACTCTTCATTTTCCACTCCTCTCACTTCTTCTTCTTCTTCTTCTTCTTCCATCTTTGCTGATTCATTCACATTCTCCTTCTCTTTATTCCATGAATCCATTTTCGGTTCTTCCTTCAAAACTGACTTTTCGAGTCCAACTCCACTGAACGAAAAAGGATACATTTCATTCACAGACTTTTCCATTTCCTTCTTCGGTTCAGATTCTTTTTCCTGGACATTTGGCACAACCTTCAAATCCTCATCACTCTTTGCCTCCAATTCCAACACATTTGCATTTCCAATCTCATTTTCCAATCCCTCTTTTTCTTTTTCTTTTTCTTCTTGTTCTTCTTCGCTTTTCTCCTTCTCCTTTTCATGCTCTTCAGGATTCGAAGCTTCCTCCTCCTCCTCCTCCTCCTCCATCACATATCGATCAATCGCCGAAGCAGACAGCAACTGCTCCTTCGACATGTCATCCGCATAGCTCACTTCGCGTCGCAACAGTCCCTATTCATTAGAAACACACAAAAGAAGAGTGTTCTTACAAAGGAATGCAGAGAGGACGAATAGTTCCACATGCCGGCTCGACGACCGCATTCGCGACATTCCAATTCGTTCGGATTGGATTGCTCCCATCCGAATAAAGCGAGCAGAATGTGAGTAATGATACGGTCGCGCGATTCCTGGCTCTCGGTTTCGGAAACGCCCATTTCTTGCATGTAGGCCTCGATGAATAAAGATAAAACGCCAGAAGTATCGAGAGCAGCAAGATCGATATCCACTCCGATATCCTATCCGTTAGAACAAAAAATCCAAAAGGAACTACAGAAGAAGTTTCGAATGACGCCAATCTGCTTTCAAAATCAGTAAGCAATTGAGAACGAGGAAGGAGAAGAGGATTCGTTAGATTTTCACTTCCGTGGATATTGTACCACGGACAAAGTTCTTGATGACGTAACAACAAATCGCTGTGGTATTGCTTTACACAATTATCGACTGCCGCCCTACTCAGTGACTTGTCGATTTGAATAATGATTCTCGATTTGCAACTACGTTCAACCATTGCAATTAATCTTACATTGGGCACTCCAAAGTGTTGTTTGCTACATTTACCCATCCATGGGAAGCACATTCAATCGGACTCAGTTCTTCTGGCTTTCCGAACCAGGTAAATACCGAATAGGACTCTACAATAACAACGAGCCAAATACACTTTACTCAAACGATCTAAGTATTGCTTTCTATCTAGTGGGTTAAATGTAAGCTGAGAACCTAAATAACATCCTTTGCCTTTAAGAGTACTCGAATCTCCAGTGACAATACCCCCGTTTGGATTTTGGACGAATAAATTATTCCAACTATCAAGTAATTCTGATATTCGTTTGATGTGCTCCATACTATAAACACTTTTTGATACTACAATGAGTGAACACGTTTTTAAAATGGGTCCTTTCCACAAGACTGTTTCTGTATTTATCTATCTATCTATTCTCACACACTTCTTTCCTAAACGTTTCTTTTGTACTCACAAAGGTGCTATTCATTGTCTCGTTTGCTCAAAGGTGTATTCAATCTGGTCGATTGACGATTGTCCGTTGATATTTCCATAAAACCAAAAGTTCCCCGTTTCCCTACTTTCGATTCTAGAACATTCGTCTTTTTCTTACTAAAAACAAAGTTATCGTTGAGGTTATCACTATGGTAATCGTCTCTACGTTGTTTTAATTCGTTTAGTCTGCCGTGTCGAGATTTATTCCCTTCGCTGATCGTGTTTTGTTAAAGAAGGTCATTCCTGTTGCTAAAGTACACAGCACATTCTCCTAGTCATGTTTAGTCCGTGGGTGGTATTCTTCTTCCCGAAGATTCTGTGCCCACTCGTAATGAGTGTGAGGTTTGCGATTGACATATCTCGGGTGAGTTTTAGGTGATTGCTGTTGGTCCTGGCAAGTACGCTGAAAACGGTAACCTCATTCCCTGCAGCGTGAAGAAGGGAGACAGGTAGTTTGCCTCAAGTTGGTGTAATGCACAGAGTGCTTGTTCCTGGATTCGGAGGCGACCACATCAAGATCAACAATGAGGATTACTTGGTCTTCAACAACAATGATATTATTGGTATTTTCCAGTAAGTTCTGTCTAATATTGGGTCATTCTGTTTGTTTTCACATATTTCCGCCAAGACGAGTCAAATCTTGTCGATCCCTTTATGTCGAAGCGAGAAATAGAGTCGTTACGCCAAAGTCTGAAAACTGCGAAGGAGAAGGGAAATCAGCAGGAGATTGTTTAATGTCGATTTACGTTGAATAATGTATTAGATAGTGTGCTGCAATGCTCTAGCGGAGGAATATCACAAGCGTGGCGATGAAGAGAGCTTAGAGAGCGCTATGCAATATCACAATATGGAATTGGAAACTTGTAGGACGATTAACAATGTGCGCAGCGCCATAACGGCTTTACGCTGTCTCGGAGATTGTTCTCGAGAATTGGGTGATATCCAGAATGCAAAGCGCTATTACGAACAAGCTCTATATCTGAGTCGTGAGAACTGCAGAACTGTTGATGATGTGAAACAAGAACATATTTGTTCATCAAAAAGTGGATACCGATGGCATTGCTAATAGGTAGCGGCGAAGGCAGAGCGTTCATTTTTATCGACTTGTCAAGATGTGCCAAAGTTAATGGAATACTATCGGTCTTTGTGTAATTTGGGATTAACCTATTTGAACGAAGTATTTTTAAGCGAATCTCTGAATGTAGTCTGTTAAAGATACAGAAAGGGACGATAATGGTGTGTCCGATTTCCATATCATGTATCGCTCCATTCCCATTTTGCGCAGATCGCTCACCTGCATTCGTGTTGCTGAGGTAACCATTCCGATTTCCTATCCAACTATCTAGAAAATTCATCGACATCAGCAGCAGAGCTACGCAGAAGAAGAGAGAGAATCGGAATGGAAGCGAACTCTCTCCGAAATCCTCACGTTTCGCTGCGACGCGCTAGCGAATCTCGGGTTGGCTTACGAAGACGCGGGCGATTTGCGTCAGAGCACGCAATATCTCTTTCAATGTGTGTACATGAAGGAAAGCTTCGAAGAGCTTCCAGAAGAATACCGCGGGCAATACGCGTTGACGTGCAGTCGAGCCAAGCATTCGCTGGGTGTGTGCTACATGAAGATGCGAATGAACGACGAGGCTGAGAAGTATCTGCTGGAGGATTTGCGATTTTGTGAGAAGCGAAGATTGCAATCGCCTCCTTCGACTGAGTAGCGAAATGAATGGAAAGCGCTGAGAAATAGTCAGTTTAACAAGGCGTGTGTTGCGGAGGGACAGACGCATCTTACGTTGGGAACGCTGCAGCTGCATCTGCACACGACGAATTCGTATCAGCAGGCACAGCGCCATTATGAATCCGCGGTGAATTTGTTTAAAATGGTGGGAGAACACATTCCGAAATCGTATGTGGCGGACGCAGAGCAAAACCTGAAAGTGTTGCGGAGTACTCGCGAGGAAATGAGCAAGCTGAAGAAGAGAATGGAGGAAGCGGAGGTTTGTGAGGATGCGAAGCAGCGCTGGGAAGAATGGAAATCGATTTGCGAAAGTGTGATGCGATTTGAGCAGTATGACAACGAAACTCCGTTTATGAAATATCGGGATTGTAGTGATATTCTGTTTGGGAAAAAGAGTTCGGAGTATGGAGACTCGATCCTTCTCTATGCGGAGTATTTGTATTACTTGTACAGTGCGGACGAGGAGCCGGTAAAACTGAATGTGGCGAAGGAATCGTGCGAAAGTGCGATTGGTAGGATGTTTGTTGGTGTGAAGTTATGAAAAGAGATTTTTCGTTCAGATTCGAACGCAGACGTGGTTTCCAATTTCGATTCCAATTCCAATTTCAATTCCAATTTCAATTCCAATTCCAATTCGCTTCGCTTGGCTTCGGCTCTGGAATTGTATGGATCGGTTCTTTCCGCCATTCGAAATACTGCAAATGATCAAGTAGACAATGCAATGAATGGAGTTGAAACTAGTTGGAAATGGATAGTTATTTGGAAGCGGCTTCCATTTTTGCAAAGTTTTTACCCGAACAACTCACGGCCTATTTGACAAATCTTGAAAATTTGCTAATTACCTTTAATCGAGTGGGATTGCGAAATCGTGCTCGATCGTTAAAGGAGCGAATCGATGAGTTTGGTTCATTTCATTCATTAAAGGAATAGAGTTCGAGAAAGCCACAGAGCAACAGAAATCGAAGCTGCTAATCCAAGGTGCGATCAGCAAGGTAGTCGTATTGAATGTGAATGGATGAATGATAGAAGATTCGCTCAAAGAGTCTTTGAATAACGATGGTAGAATTTGAGAATTAGAGTGAATTGCAGAATTGGAAACGAGCGGAGATTTCAACGATCAGCTTTCTGTATTTTCGGAGCCTTTGGGAGAGGAAGAAGAACTCTTTACCCAAGAAGAGGATTCATGTCGTGTTGTTACACGTCCATCCAAAATGATTGTGAATGATGATGATGATAATGAAGACGAGAATAATAATGATGAAAGTGTTGGAGAAGGAGAAACGGATGAATCCTTGTTTGAAGAAGAGGCTGGAACAAGTCATTCCATAGAAGAATCGATGCTTCTGTCTCAAATAGAAGCGACCAATCGAAACCCAATCAAACAAGCAAAGTTGATATTTAAACTCGGGAGTTTTTACCAGGAGAATGCGGAATACGAGAAAGCGGTTCCGCTGTTTTATCAGATCCAGCGGATTCTGCGTCCGTTTCCTTCGCACGAAGATATCAGTCATGTAGCAGTTCGATGTTTGTCGGTGTGTCTTCGCGAGTTGGGCGATTCGGATAAAGCGGTCGATGTTCTCAACAAAGATATCGATTTGCTCGTCTACCGAAAGTCTCGGATAGCCGGAGAGAGCGAATATAACGATTACTACGAATCGGAATTATTGCGATCATACGAAGAATTGGGGAATTGCTACATCACGTATTTTGACTCTACAAGTCACTCCATATAGATTATTCGATCGAACAAAGAAGCAGGCGTTACTGTCCAGCGCTGCGGAGTGTTATAATCGGTCGGTCCGCGCCGCTCGCCATTTGCATCCTTCTTCGGTGACAGGAGTTTTGGTGAATTTGGCAACCGTGTTGGAGGAGCAACAGAAGCCAGACGAAGCCGAGAAGATCTATAAGCAGGCGATCACGCAATGGAAGGCTCCTTCGTCTGGGTCGAATGAGGCCTCGTTGATCTATTCGAATCTCGCGCGAGGGTGGTATGACTACGCGCGTCTTCAAATCAAGCGGGGTTTGTATTCTGTCGCTCTGGAGTATTTACAGAAGGCATTTGTGAATGATTGCTTGTCGAGAAGGGTGGATGATATGGTACGAACAAGCTCGCTAATCGGTGATGTGATGCTGGAAATGGCAGGACGCGGCTCGCTAAGCGAAGAGAAATGGAATGTAGAAATGAAGAAGATGGTAAGCGAGTTGAGCGAAAGAGAACGAAACGGCTCTCCGCATGAAAAGAAAATGATTCAAGACACGAGCGAGTATCTGCGTCATTTGTCCTCCATTTTTGAGTTATGGACTCGTTGGAACCAGACTTGGAAGTCCAAAACTCCAACGGAATTATGCGAATTTGTGATTGAGTCGCTCGAACTTCCTCCCTATCCTTATTCGTTATTACACTTTATTCTGCCAGTGATTGCGCAGACCCAATCCAATCTTTCTCTGTCTGTAAACGACTCTGTAATCAGCGTTTCTCCTATGAGACTCGCAGAGTGGCTCACAGTCGTCACGATTGCAGTGTTGGTGGAAGAGCAGCGCTTTAACCAAGCGATTTCCTTGCTTCAAAAGAACGTAACGTTTTTATCTTTGTCTCCTGTGTTGCCTGCTCCTTCGCCTAGTTCGATATTGAACTCGTTGAAGCAGAAATTGCGTCAGCGACTAGTTTTCTGTTCAGAAACTTCGACACACTCTGCAGATGTGTCAATGTCATTTTCTGAAGCAAAAAGTTGCTATGATGCGTTACTGCGGACTTTTCCTGAATTGGCAAAAGAACGAAACGGAATGGAACACAATGAAAATGAGGAGGAGGATGAAGACTTGTCTCTTTTGCGAAAGATTCGATGGAACCGGAATTTTTTACCCGCAAATGGGAATGCTGACAACATGAGTCTCGCGTTTTTACAATCGGTGAATCGTGGAAACTCGCGGTTTTCACACATTCGGAAAAAATCAAACGAAGCTTTTCGAATCCAATACGAAGATCCCGTTCTTGTCGTTCCCAAGAGACGAGTTAGAATCGAGAGAAGTCCTTCAAAACGAGCGAGACTCGAGGATTCGCCCCTATTTGATCAACCAGCGCAGCAAATACAACCAGAGAAATCGAATCAGCCAAATCTTCCCATGGAATCTTTTCCGCTGAATCAGCCAATCCAGTCCGCGCAATCGGCTCAATCCGTGAATTCCAATACATCCATTCGAATTGATTCCACGATCTTTTTCTGTGGAAATCAGGATCGTTTCGAAGACTCGATTCCAGTGGCATTTACTGAAGACTACGATTACATTTGCAAGCGTTTAACGGATCATATCAAGTCGCAATACGTAATCCATTGGAATGAGTTGTGTTATTTCTAGGGAGTAACCGTGGAAGTTTTGCGAGTACTGAAGAACAATCAGATTATATGCGATCAGTCCATTCAGTTGGAGTCAGGCGATCAGATCGATATGTATTGTTCTCTTTCTTCGGACAGTTCCATTGTGGAAGCGTATCAAGAGATTATGAAAACGTACCAATACCGAACAGCCGGCATGTATCACATTCTCGAATCGATCGCGCAAACTCCGACCTATTCCACAGTCACACACATCAAACTGTCGCAATGCGGTCTTGTCGACGGAGATATCTATCACTTCCTTCTTCCTCTGCAGATTCCGCTGAGCTCGCTCACGAAACTTGATTTAAGTGACAATCAGTTAACAGATATGGCAGGTACACTTCTTGCATTGTGGATTTTGAAAGGAAACTGTCCGCAGCTTCGAGAGATACGACTTGGAGGAAATTGCTGGCATGATCGAGGATTATCGCATCTGTTTTTCGCTTTGAAGGATCAAATAAGAATCGATTCGATCGATGTGACTCGATTGAGAATTGATAATGAAGCCATGGTGATGTTAACATCTCTCATCAAATCGTTTACGCCTGTGATTCTTCCAGAATCTGGGTCCATGCAGGGTCTTTCTCTTTGTTTTGTTTTTCTTTTCTTTGTTTATGCATAGCTGCAAAGTATATGGCGATGTCTCCGATTGCAAGAAAGTCTTTTTTGTCGTCTTTTAGTGATGTTGCTCTTGAGAATTTGGAACTTGATGGTGTTTCCATTCCGGATACTATCGAGTTTGTAAGTGCTGAGGAAGTGGATGAAGGGTAGCAAGTGATCAGCAGTCTACGCGATCAGAAATTGCTAAAGCACTTGTCTCTCACGCATTGCAGTCTGGTGAGTGTTTTGGAGTTGAATGATTCATAGAATCCTCATGTTTTTTATACTCTTTTTGCTCCTGAGTCTCTTCCTTCTATCCAATACATGAATCTGAGTAGTAATCAGAAAGGAGATGTCGCTGTTCAAACGAAGCTGCTGGAAGTGGCTATCGCCTTTGTTCAGTCTCGTGAAGTTACTGTAGAGATGAAGGAGATGAACTTTTACACTGTGCTACCAGATTCAGTAGCTTGTAAATTATTATTATTGTAGTGTGTTTGTTGTTTAACAATGTATTGTGAACGATTAGAATTGCTTATTCATGATATTGAAAGGGCTGTTGTCTGCGTCGAAAAATAAAACCAATATATACAAATAGTGATTAGTGAAACAAGTCATGAGTGTCGCTTTATTTCCAACAACCAAATCACCACCAAAAGCATGCCTATCCAATCCATATCACATACACTCTCTCCAGCAATACGTTTCTCTGAGTTCACATAGAAATAAAAGAAGATCGAATGCATATATAAATATACATATCTTCGTCATGATATCAAGTACATTGACAAGTGTAACGAATCTGCCCTTAGAAACCGAAACGGAAATGAATCAAGCAGAGGACTTCTTCAATAAGATTCGAAATAGCCAAATAGAAAGAATGCTGTTCCGTCCATTCTACCTACGCCTCGTTTCTGTGATTGAAATTGTACCATTTTGAAATGGATGCTGATGTAGACATTACTAGTTGTTTCATTTATCGGATGGCCCCTCCTAGGATTTGCATTGCTTCCACTCACCACAGATCTCGTTGAAAACAAAAAGGCATTGTGCATTGTACCTGTTGATTTCCGATTTCATTTCTATTAGTACCAAAAATGGAGAATGGTGATTTTAATTGTATCATTCGTACTATTTTTCTATCGTACTCCCTACATCCAGTTCGTCACCAGCAATATGAAAACATACCGAATGGACGACGGTGGACTTGAATCCTATTTCAGACCTTCTTTTGTGATTAATAGCAATGTCCTATGGATGTGGGGACTGCTGCTCTTTCAAGTACGCTAAGTCTTCCAATGCTTATTAGGCATGGGTGTACATGTTGACGATCAATGCAAGCCTGCAGGTGCCTCGAAGAAAACAGTACAACATAGAAGAGACTGCTTCAGAATCTGAGCAAGATGATCAATTCCTTGTTTTTTACATCACCTCACATCAGAAAGTTGTCTAGCACTCCATGAGTGTTCTCCACAGTGAACCACAGATTATGCTGATCCTTGAACTATCATAAAACTGGTTGCCACCTCACAACTTTCCACAAAGAGTAGGTCATAATGTGCACATTCTACTGGCGAACTACCACAAGATTCAACTAGGATGAAACTCCCAAAAAGAAGAGTTGTGCACGTGAAATGATTGGTCAGAATGATTTAGAATGAAACTCCGGTACCACGAATTTTGTGGTACTTCATAATTTTTATGGAAATCAAAGAGAAGAATGTTGAGCTTGTGAATTTGAGCGTTGTTTCTCCTGCTGGAGACGTAGAGGTTGTAGAGTGTGTTGATTCGTAGAATGCCGAGCTTTATGCCTACCCGCCAGAGGACCTTGAGGCTCCCTCTGCTGGTAAGACAGATTGCCTTTTTGACTGGCAGTTCGAGAATGACGGTGCCAAGTCCATTAATCGCTTCGGCGGTATTGAGCATTTGATGAAGACCTTGGGAACCGATCCCAAGAAGGTAGGCTGTGTGTCTGTTGCGTAATTTGTTTAGGGTCTGACCACTGAGCAAGCCGAAGATCCGAAGCGAGTTGAAGTTTACGGCAGCAATCGCCGTGCTGAGGTTAAGGGAGTGTCATACTGGCACCTGATCTGGGTGGGTATGCATGATATTACGATGATTCTTCTGACCTTTTCCGCAATCATTTCCATATCTCTGGGAGTATACACCGAGGGATGGGAGACTGGTTGGTTCGATGGGTCCGCTATTATTGCTGCTATTCTAGTTTGCTTGAATGTGTCAGCTATCAACGATCTGCAGAAAGACAGACAGTTCCGTATTTTGAATGCTGCTAATAACCGCATGATGGTTACGACGATCCGAAATGGAGAGAAGTGCCTGATTTCGACGGATGATTTAGTTGTGGGTGATATCATTCAGGTTTCTGGTGGAGACACTGTGCCCGCAGACTGCTACTATTTGAATGGTAGCAACGTGAAGATGGACGAATCCAAACTGACTGGAGAGTCCGATCAGGTGGATAAGAACGAAGTGAAGAATCCTTTCCTTGTGTCCTCTACGGAGTGCCACGAAGGTTCTTGCACGGCGCTTATCGTGGCTGTGGGTCAGCACAGTGTGTTCGGACACATGCGAGCCATGATCGAGTCTGAGGGTGAAACCTATACTCCTCTTCAAGTAAAGTTGGCTAAGTTGGCTAAACAGTTATCTCTGATGGGTTGCTTTATGGGTGTTATTACTATGATTTTCATTATTGCTATGCACTTGTGGCATTTCTTCAGCGGCGAAGGTACTGTTGATGTGAATGGAAATCCCTATTGGGACAGCAGTAACTGGACCGCCTTGGTGGATGCTTTCACCACTGGTGTGGCGATTATGGTGCTGGCCATTCCCGAGGGTCTGCCCTTGGCCGTCACGATCGCTCTCGCCTATTCGGTGAAGCGTATGATGAAGGATAACAACTTGGTGCGTCACTTGAACGCTTGCGAGACCATGGGAGGAGCGAACACGATTTGCTCGGATAAGACGGGAACGCTGACGCAGAACCAGATGACCGTGGTGCAGGGATGGGTCTACAACGATAAGAACCAGACTGCCTTGCTGAACACGCTGAAGTGTGGAGACGAGGCTGAGTACAACGCTTTCATTGCCAAGTGCGCTGAGATTAATGAGCAGGTGAAGCAGCTGCTCATGGACAATGCTTTGCTGAACAACGAGGCCTATTTGACGAGCAACGAGCAAGGAAAGGAGCGCGGTGTTGGATCGGCTCTGGATATCGCTCTGCTGCGTTGGGCTCGACTTCTGAAGGTGGATTACAGTGCCGTGCGCGAGAAGTACCCTCTGCTGAACGCGGAGTCGGCTGCCGATGCTACGGGAATCGTGCGTCGCTTCCCCTTCCACTCCAACCGCAAGCGAGCCTCGGTGCTGGTGCGATTGGCCAATGGCAAGTATCGTTTGTATGTGAAGGGAGCGCCCGAGATGGTGATTCGTCTCTGCGATGCCGTGGCTCTGCAGGACGGAAGCGTGAAGCAGCTCACTGGAACCTTCCAGGAAGATAGTTCCGGCAACGTGACGGGCACGGGCTCGCGCTGCAAGCTGGTGAAGCACTGCATCTACCCGATGGCTAGACAGGCGCTGCGTGTGCTGGCGTTCGCCTACCGTGACTTTGATTCGATCGAGGACATCGACAAGACTGTGCAGTACCCCACGGAGGATCAGAAGGGAGTGGGCGAATGCCCGGTGATGGAGAACTTCCTCACGCTGGTGGCGTTCCTGGGCTTCCAGGACCCCGTGCGTCCCGAAGTGCCTGAAGCCGTGCTGTCTTGCCAGAAGGCCGGTATCTTCGTGCGCATGGTGACGGGAGACAACATGGAAACCGCCAAGGCCATCGCTCGTCAGTGCAACATCTACCACCACGACACTTGGAAGGACCCGAACGGAAGAGAGTGGCCTGCTGGTCGCGCGATCCTGGGTTCGCAGTTCCGAGAGATCGTGGGAGGACTGACTCTGCCGCCTCACTTCTATCATGAGTGCCACTGCAAGGACTGCTCGAACGACGAGTACTTCGTTCCCGACTACAAGACTCCCGATTACCCCGTGCACTTCGGCTATCCCTCGATTGTGGGTCACAAGGATCACCACTGCGCCGATTGGACCGAGGAGGCGAAGAAGAAGCGCGGCAGCGATCCCAAGAGCCAGTGCACCGAGGAGTGCAAGCAGCGTGGCTGCATGTGCCAGGTGAAGAACCCCAAGGACGAGCGCCAGCTGCAGCAGTTCTATGTGGTGAAGAACCAGGGACAGTTCGATCAGTTCGTGGACACGCTGCAGGTGATGGCGCGTTCGGCTCCTACCGATAAGCACTTGCTGGTAACGGGTCTGATGGAGCGTCATCAGGTGGTGGCCGTGACGGGTGATGGAACCAACGATGGTCCTGCTCTTTCCAAGTCCAACGTGGGTTTCGCTATGGGAATCACGGGTACCAGCGTGGCCAAGGACGCTTCGGATATCGTGCTGATGGATGATAACTTCATCTCTATCGTGAAGGCCGTGATGTGGGGACGGAACGTGTACGACTCCATCCGCAAGTTCCTGCAGTTCCAGCTGACCGTGTCCTTCGTGGCTTGCAGTGTGTCGTTCATTTCCGCTATCACCCTGGAGGAGTCGCCTATGACGGCTGTGCAGGTGTTGTGGATCAACTTGGCTATGGATACGATGGCTGCTCTGGCTCTGGCCACCGAAAGCCCGACTCCCAAGCTGCTGGACCGTTTGCCTTACAGCAAGACCGAGTCGCTGATTTCCCAGACCATTATTCGTAACATTATCGTTCAGACCCTTTGCCATGTGATCATTTTGCTCCCGATCGTGTACAATGGTCATCGCATGTTCAACATCCCGATTGGCTCGATGCTGGGAGTGGGTCATACGCCTACTGTTCATTATACCCTGGTGTTCAACGTGTTTGTAGCTCTGCAGATTTTCAACGAGCTGAACTCACGTCGAATCAACAACGAGTGCAACGTGATGGAGCACATGGCCACGAACACGCTGTTCTGGGGCGTTCTCATCCTTTCTATTGTACTTCAGGTTCTGCTTGTGCAGTTTGCCAATACCTTCTTTACCACGCATCCTCTGACTTGGCAGGAGCATCTTTTCTGTATTTGCGTGGGTTTCCTGTCGATTCCTCTGTACCAGTTGGCTCGTACGGTGCCTACTACTTGGTTCCGCAGTTTCGGAGGTGGTAAGGAAGTCAAGTTTGATACTAGCTCGCGTGACTACTTGATGAGAAGAAACGATCTGTCGAATGCTTCTCTTCGTAGTGTTACTTCAGCCCAGTTTATGAATACTCCTTCGACTATTCCTAACTTGTTCTCTAGTATTCGCAGAGTATAACTGTTGTTTATGCCAAGCTTGTTTGTTTGAGACCTGTTGTTGTTATGTGTCGGAGTGGGTAATGTGTCAAACATTGTTTTGGATGAAATCGTTATCTCTCTTGTTTCCTAATTTGGACCTGAATCAATACGTTGTGAGCGATTCTAGGATCACTTTGCTTGAGTCACAAGATCGCAAGGAAGTCTTTCACTTCTTCGCACCTCATCAAAATGAAGTCCTCACTGTGGTCTACGAGAAGGGGACAGAAAATGGGAAGGCTGTTCTGGCTATTAACTCGCTCTATCAGATAAGGTGGAAAGTTGTCGACGGAAAGCCGGAAGGTGAGTATGAAGTGCTTAAGTTTTGTGTTTGTCGCTGTATCGGCTTCATAAATGAAGATGGTTCTTTTGACAGACAATGTTATATAGAATGCAGTTCCAAATCAACGATGGCTGTTCACTGTGATCCGACTACGGGTAATATCATATATCGAGGAGGAATGGGAAGAACACGTTTTGAACGTGAGGGCTTTGGTGCTGTGTATGATGGTGTGAGTGGGAATCCTTTGTATTTTGGCATCTTTTATCATAACAGATTGTATCGCATCTATCAGAAGTTCATCAATGGCGAGTTTATGGTTGAATATGCATACGAAGATGACAATACGCTGTTACATTCAAGTCAAGAAGGGATTGCTCGCTATATAGAGTCTCATCCCGCTCAGCCAGAGGGAACGATTGTATATCGTGGTGGATTCAGACCTCAGCCGTGCTTGTTCTTCATGCGAAGTGGGGAAGGGTGTGAGATTCGCAACGGTGTGACACGCTATGGAATTTGGAGAGGAGATAGATGTATTGAGCAGTGGAGTACCAATATGGAGAATGTGGTGTTTGATTGTTTAAAGGGATATGTGGCGAGATCCGCAAAAGACGAGACTCCAAGAGTGAAAGATGAAACGGATGTGGTTCGTGGAATAGATGATGGACCTATACAACTTCAAAAAGTACCACCCTATGCTGAAAAATTAATTAAGAAAGCTGATACAATGTTAGACGAAGTAGAATCTCCGTCTCCTTCAAACACGATTCATCCTGGTCCTAATTCTGATGTCAAATCGAAGCCGGAATCGACTCGTAGTGCAAATCCTAAGCCAGCACCTACTTCGAATAACGTTCCTAAGATTGTTTCCTCTTTTATTCCTGGTTCTTCTCACTTTACTCCAAGTGCTTCTTCATCTTCTTTGGCTCCTGCTCCCACGAGTGCTCCCACGAGTGCTCCCACGAGTGCTCCCATGAGTGTTTCTGCTTCCATGAGTGCTCCCACGAGTGTTTCTGCTTCCATGAGTGCTCCTACGCCTACGCCTACGCCTATGCCTATGCCTATGCCTATGCCTATGCCTACACCTACTCCCACTCCCACTCCCACTCCCACTCCTAAACCTGCCCCCATAAGTGCCCCTACACCTGCTACCATTGTAAAACCCTCGACTCCTCCTCCTCCTCCTCCTCCTTTCTCGAATTCTGTACCTTTTGGATCCATAAATCATCAGTTTGTACCTTCAAACTCGGCTTCTTCGATTCTTCCTCCAAAACCAAATACCAACAGTACCTTTTTCCCCTTCACTACAAAAACGGAAGTTGTCACACCTGAAGAGATGAATCAACCTCCCCAAAGCGCAAATACTGTCATGAAGAAATCGCATGAGCAAGTTTCACCATCACCATTTGTAAATGGATCAACGGTGCTTTCGGAATCATCTCTTAATAGTTATTTCTCGAATTCGAATCAACAAAACGTTTCTCCTAATGCTTCGGTTGATCCCTTCATTCCGAATAGTCGTTCGAGTGGAGGTCAGTCATTGAGTAAAAGCAATAGCCAAAGTTCGATTAGATCATTCGAGAGTGTGGACAAAAGTCAATCCAAGGCAGCGATAAAACCTTTTATGAATGGTGAGAACCCTATGGCTAGTCCGTTCATTCCAGGGTCCTCTCATACATCGCCTTTTGGATCTTTCATTCCCTCTCTACGAAATAAACAATCTTCTTCTCCAATGAACGAACAAACGCAGACCCCAGTGAATGAGTCTACAGACGAGAAAGACGTTGTCATTTCGAGTTTCAGAGGATTTCAACAAATTCGCAACATGATCGTTTCTCTTACAGTGACTGGAAACTGCTGTAATGAACCGGAATGCAATCGCTTTGATTTATCAATGTGTGCGAATTTGAAAACCATTCGGATTGAAGACAATTGCTTCAGGTATGTGACGGAGGTGAGTCTAAAGAAAATGGAATGTTTGGAAGAATTGTCTATTGGAATGAATTGCTTCCAAGGCATTCAAAACGGAATTGCGTCGAAACAATTTTGCTTGGAGGAAAATGATTCTCTTCTGACGCTTAAGATTGGAGCCAACTCTTTCGTCGATTACGATGAGTTCATTCTAAGAGGTAGTTGATACATGCATTCATTGAGACAAAGATATGGAGGAACTTTCTCAAATCGAGTTAGGTGAGAATTGCTTTCAATCGATTCGTAATGTCGTTTTGGAGAGTAGTGGTGCATTCCTGTGTGTGACTGTAGATCTCAGCTCGCTTTCTTCAATCAGTTTGAATAAAAACACTCTGTTAGGAGATGAAACGAACAAAATTGCTAATCAAAATCAGGTTAGATACGCGAATCAACTTTGGTTTAAGAGTTGTTGAAAGTCATGACAAGTAAAATGTAGACTTGCAATCGTTGGAACATCTTTGTAACCTCTCAGGTCCCTCACTTGTGTATTTTGGACGGATCGTTTGCCGAAACGTCACCAAATTAACCGAGAACGGGATCCAGCTCGGCGATTATGGCAGCTTCAAGTACATTCAAGATACAGATTTCAAGAATGCGAATGCTCTCAAGTCTTTCATTTTGCATCGCACTCAGCAGCATTCGAATTGTCTTGTTTTCTACAAACACACAAGGAAGAATCGATTTTTCGAACAGGAACGCTCTCTTGAATGACCTGCTTCCAATCGGCCGATGTATTGAACCGTACCAGCAATTCGATCACTACGAATGAACCCTTCTTTCGCTCTCGAATACCGTTGTTCACTGTCAAAACGCGTGACCCATGGAACTTTACGAGCTCCAACGGAAGCTTCGCACATCGAAATCCGAGTCGTTTGGCCTTTTCGAGAGTTAGGAATTTGTAACGATTGCGATCTACAATGCCCCCGATGATGTAAATCTCGTCTTTCTTTAAATCTTCCAAGGTTTCATCGCCATCAGCACTCAAGTAAACTATTTTGTCATGAGGATAGTGGAATCCGTCTTCCTGTTCCACCACTTTATCAATATCAGACTCAAATCGCTCGGCCTATGAGTCAGAAAGAAACAGCCAAACCCACTAGCCAACTATCAAACCCCTTAATTTTCTCCAGTTTTGTTTTAACCTCGTCCTTCACGCTAGTGAGGACCAGACGAAGAGGCTTTTCGGCACGACGAATACAACCGTAAGAGTACATTACCTGCTGAACAAGACTACTCACCTCATTGGGACGCATCAACTCTTGGAAGTCCAAATCTATCACAATACGAGGACTTGTTTTCAAATCCTCCAACCACTGTTCCTTTCTCTTTCGGTGCTCCTCCTTCAGCCTTGCACGCTCTTCTTGTGATAAATCATCTATGAAATAATGAACATTATTCGAAATGACCTTGGACAGGCTGTTTTACCTGATTCTTTGCCTTTTCCTTCTTTTGTTGCTTCTTGATCCGTTTCTTCTCCTCCCAGTGCTTTTTCAGCTTTTCAAACTTGAGACGCTTTTTTTGCTGACTTTTACTAAGCTGCTCCGATTGCTCCTTCTCTGGATCATCCAAAACTTCGTTCGTCTTGTCGTTTTCTTGGGTAGGTGGGACATCACCTTCTATGTTGTCACTCCTACACGATGAGACTACACTAGAGACTCTTTACATTCCAATAGACTCAAAAAGGACGTGCTTCACAAAACTTTGGTATTCCACAATTCTGGACTTCTCTGACTCACAAGCAATATTCAAGGAACCGAAACATGATTCGAGTCTCGAAGTTTCTTTCGTCTTCTGCCGCACTCCTCTGCCGATCGAATGCTTCTGTAACGAGAACAACTTCTTTGCTGTTTCAAACCCCTGTTTCTTCGGTTTTTGTTCGTGGATTCGCTGGAGAAAAGAAGAAAGGAAAGAAGCAGGCAGCAGCACCTGCTCAGGAGACTGTAAAGAGCGATAGTTTGATTCCTATAAATATTTATGTTGGTATGCACTTCTTTGAAGTTCTGACTGAAAGATGGAAAGGATCCCGAAGTGTTACCCGATGATCAGTATCCCGAGTGGTTATGGCATATGCTTGTGATTTCAAGTGATAGTGGTGACGTATAGGACCCTAAAGTGACTCCTGATGAATGGGAAACGCGTAACTATGAGGGAATCACCGAAAAAGATATGCAAGCGTACTGGAAGCGTTTTGTATTTATTGTAGGGTGATTCGTGTGCGAGCGGCAATTCGTATCAAGGAGTTCAATATGTCCAAATCAAAGTAAACTGGCAAATGAGTGGTGAAAAGGCAAGGTTATTTAGTAGAAAATATGGTTGTGATGTTTGTTTGAAAGGAGTGATTGATTTTTTGGTGAGATATTGCATTACTACTACTACTACTACTACTACTACTACTACTTAAAAAAGAAAAAAGAAAATTGGAGGAGAGGGGCATCGATCCCCTTACCTCTCGCATGCTAAGCGAGCGCTCTACCATCTGAGCTACACCCCCTACAAACTGTTTCCTTTATGCTACCTACTTATAGAACTAATCACATTACACATTCAATTCTAAAACCATCGCTCGGTATGAGTATCTGATGGATATAAAGTCCTATTCGTGCCTGCAATATAATGGTAAGATCGACTTTTGTAGAAATGGGGAAACTCGTAATAGATTTGGAGTATATTTTGTGTTTTTTGCTACAGTTGACTTCGATTTGTATTTTATCGAATGGGACAAAACGCAAGCTCAGAAGAGAAGGTTGATACCCCAGGTGTCAGTGGGGGCAGCCCTAAACCACAAGTCAAGCATCGAAACCATGAGTTCTTCATTTCGAACGGAGACCTTGAAACAGTTGGAGACCTGGATTCCGTTCTGCAGGCTATTAATGTTTCCCCAACTCCGGAGGGTACGTTTCTTTCCTTGTCTATTATCATTTAAGATGATAGCCCCTTCAGTCCAGAGGTGATTGAAGTGAGCGGAATTCAGTCCCAGCGAGAAGCAATAAAGAATGTCGTGAAGGCTCGTTCTAACCATTTCATTCGAAGACTTTCGGCAGCTTACCCTGTACAAGAAGATGACATTTTTACCTATGTGCGTGTTTCAACGATGATGAAAGTAGTTGAGTACTGCGACACTGGAACTCAACTGACGTTAACCATGGTGAACAAATACTTTAGTTCCCTTATTGCCACCACTCGAACGGAAGCGGACATCGTGTGCCAACCTGGCTGGGTCGACGCCATCAACCGCAGTCCCTTCCTGCGAACGATCGTGCTGCGTCGAGAGAGCGCTCCTGACGACATTCGTCGCTTCTGCCGCATTATAAAGAATGACGGTTTCCCCGAGCTCACCGATCTGAAACTTGTGTATGTGGGCGAGGAAAATCTCCACAGCATCCTCAACGCGTTTCAGCAAAAAATCTCCCGGTCGATCCGTCTGAACATTATTTCAAAGGATTTCACCGCGGGAGTGACCATCGCCGTCTACGATTTGACCCAGCGCGTCTGCTACTCGTTCGCCGAGGCCGCGCAGGAGAGTCTCTACTTCGTCCTGGGCCGTCTCCGCCTGATAACGGACGACGTGGAAGGCATCGAGCATTTCTTCAAAACCGTGGACTTCTCCTCGTTCTCGCGTCTGCAGGAAATCACGCTCTCGTCGTGCCCGCTGCAGAAGCGCGGGTTCGAGCTGTTCATTCGCTCGATGTGGCCGGAAGGCGCGTCCTCGAGCGACGTGCCGCCGGTGCGCGTGCTGCGCTTGGACGAAGTGCAGCTTCACAACACGGCGATGCTGTCGATGGCGTCCGTGATGAACCGAGGACTCTTCGCCAACCTGGAGGAGCTGGATTTGTCGTCGAATAAGATCTCGGAGAAGGGGATCCGCCTGCTGGCGGACGCTTTGTCGAACTTCGCGTGTCCCAACCTCAAGAAACTGCTGCTCACAGACAATTTCGTGTCGGTCGGGAACATGGTCTGCCTGTTCTCCGCGCTGAAGGACGGCTGCTGCCCTCTGCTGAGCGAGCTGGAGTTCGGACACACCGGCATCGGGCAGGAGGATCTGGAAGCGTTCGCGGAGTATCTGACGACGCCGTACGCGGAGAATCTCTCGCGTCTGAACCTGAGCAACAACCCGCAGGTGACGGCCGCGCTGCCGGGACTGTTCGAGGCGATGGAGAACGGGTCGAGCGAGAGCATGAAGACGCTTCTGATGGAGGGCGTGTCGCTGGCGCGCAAGGAGATCGAGGGACTCGCGCGATGGCTGCTCTGCGGGAAGGCTGCGAAGCTGCGCGCGCTGATTCTGCGGTGCAATCTGCTGGACGAGGGCGCGTTCCGCGTGCTGCTGGAGACGATGATCGATGCGCGCTGCCCGCGACTCAACGCGCTGGATTTCAGCTCGAATCTGATCGGAAGCTTCACGGAGGCGGACTGGCTGCCGCTGCTGTCGAAGGACGGCGAGGAAATCGTGTTCGAGCAGGTGGATTTCTCGTTCAACCCGCTCTCGGACAACGACATGCGGCTGCTGCTCATGTTCTTATCGCGCTTCTCGCATCTGGAGAAGACGCGTCGCATGGCGTTCGCGGGGAATCAAATCACCGCGGAGACGTTCAACTTCCTCTTCAAAGCGATCCCGGAAGACGTCAGCTCGCTCTCCTTCCTTTCAATCGACTCCTGCTCGCTCCAAGGCGTCGGACCCTACTTCGCAGACTTCCTCGCGAGCCGCGCCGCCTCGCAGCTGACCTCTCTGTCGCTCCGCGATTGCGGATTGACGAAGCGGGACGTGCTGCAGATTCTGGATGGGCTGGATCAGGGAGCCTGCGCCATGCTGAGCACGCTGCGGCTGGACGGAAACCCCGAGATCGATAACCAGTTCGTACAGAGGATTCTGCAGAGTATCGGGGAGAAACAGTCGCTTCCGAGCTTGACGAGGCTGGAGGCCGGATACACGCAGATTAATGGGGAGGGAGTGGAGATGTTTTTGAAATTCTTTAAGGAGCACGCGACACGCTTGCAGTCGCTGGATCTGTCGAGTATTAATATTAGCTCGGAAGAGAAGGATCTCTATAAGCAGCAGATGAAGGAGTTTTTCTCTGGTCATTGTAGTTTCTATTTTGTTTTCTTAAATACATTTTCAAGGAAGAATGAATAGACAGTTTAAGGATATTCCATCCTACCAGGAATCAGTAAGGTTGGCGAGGATTAAACATCTAGGCCGTTCCTGCGGATACAATTAGCTGCATTCATACTTCATGGAATAGTAGTCACTTTGCTCTGACTTCTTGGAACGGAGAGGTGCTTTTCGCTGAATTGATGTTTGACACATAGGTGCGTTGTTACCAGGTGAATACGGCAAATGGAGGGATTCGTTCGCAAGGAGTTAGCTCGATATCTCTGGGAGTTCCGGCTACTTCCTGTTATTGGAACACGGTTTCGGCGTTTCTTATGCATCGAATGTAGAATAATTCACAAGTTTTCGTTGGAAGTGGAGACGGAAAAGTTTTCCTTTGGAATTTGGAGTCTGGCTCTTCGAGTCCCCAGCAAATTGGTCAGGTATTCTATTTCGTAATTTCTTTATCGTTTCCAGCACCAAGATGGAATCATTGCAATTTCAATCAACACAAAGACAAATCTGCTGACGGTCGGAAGTATTGATGGCGACGTTGGTGTATATGATATTCGTTCTCCCAACTCTGTTGTATGGCAAGTCCCTCTCGTTCTTTACACACTAGATTCATCTAAACGCCAAGCGCTCCTTAACAGCCTTGTGTAATGGGTACCGCATCCCCTCCTCTTTTCTATTCTTTTAGTGTGGACACCTCTCAATTCGCCTTCACAAACGGAAAAGACATCTTCATATACGATCTCTGCAACCCATCGCAAGCTTTTAAAGTGCATGTTCCGCCATCCTGCTCTCTAGACCTACTCCGTGGATGATAAAGATGCCTTTGCCACCTCGCTCGCCTTCTCGCCTACCAAGTATTTCGCGTATGGCATGATGAGCGGATTGGTGGTCGTGGAGTTTTTGTAGGCTCGGTGTTGCGAAGGTCACACGCAGAAATATCCCGTACAACGGTACAAAGAACGACACGCTTCGATTCCGCGTGGGGAAGCAGAATAATGTGCAGCATACCGTCTCGGGGTCAGGAAGGAGGAGTGTTTTGACGGCGTAGCATTTGCTTCCACAATCCGAGCGAGTATATTTTGACAGCGTCGGGAAACGGCTCGCTGGTGTTGTGGGACTGCGTGAGTCGCAATCGCGTGCAGGACTTCGAAAAGGCGTAGAAATAGAGGAGAGGGATCGAGACAAGACAATCCAATGTGACGCATGGAATCACGGCGTGCTGCTGCTCGTATGATGGATCGCTGCTGGTGTATGCGAAGGGGTATGGATGGGATTTGGTAGAGCAGAGAAGGGGGCGTGAAGGGTAGGGAGCGCCGTCGACTGTTCCCTCATCGTATCCGATCAATCAAAACGTGGAGTTGTTCTGCAAACGATTAAATTGGAGTGTTTGTTAGAAAAAAGGAGAAAGGAGGAGGAGGAGGGATAATAGATCGTGGAAGGATGCGATCACTAAGTCGCCCTGGCTTGAAACTGAAGGACGATCTTTTACTCCTGTAAAACAGATAAAGGCGTCCACTACGTCTTTTGTTTCCAGATCCGTTGCTCCGTCACCGATCATTACGCTCTCTTTCTCTCCAATATGGGCGAAAACCTCTTCAATTTCAAGGCATTTGCCCCTGGGATTGTTTATAAGCCGAGAACGATCAAAGCCACTGTATAAACCATTCGAAAAGTAGATTTCATTACACAAAACATGATCGTGTGGAATACCTAGCTTGTCGCTCACTGGAAATACAAGCTGATTATGACACTGAATACAATCATACATGTGATATGCCTCCGCTCACAAGATACACCAATTTCCGGTTGTTCTGCAAATAGGAAATAAACTCTTTCACGCCAGATGTGAGGGTCGGATTCCAGTTTCTTAAAAATGAAGTCATCTGCTCGATTGTGGGATGCAGCAAGTTCATTCGCTTTTCAAAACCTTCTACATAGGATATTTCGCCCGCCATTGCCCTTGGTTTGAAACGATATCCATTCTATACTGGTTAGTTATGGAGCAGACCTCCTTATACTTGCCCAAATACCGTGCGAACTCATCGAGCCCTTCTTCATGTATAAGGGTACTGTCTACATCCAAAAAGAAGCATTGCGCATTTCGCAAAACTTGGATGGCCTTTTGTGGGTGAAGTCCTTTCAAATGTGTTATCATGCTCTATATTTGGAGTGCTGAGGCTATCTCGAACCACTGATCTTTCTCCCTTTTAAAAACTATAGTCAAAAACAATAGAACAGTTCGCATTTCCATTCATTTTGTTATTATTTCGAATGGAAGAAAGTATGCTCTATGTGTTGTTTCCTATATAGCATTCAATAGACAGCCAACGCAGGAACAGAAAGCAAAAAAGGACAACATTCTTGTCAAAACCTGCATTGATCCTGTTGCCGTGAAAACATACGAAGATTTAAAGGCTCTGCTTGAAACCAAGTATCCTGGTAGATTCACCTATACACATGAGATCTATCCGCTCCCATTCTGGAGGGATGTACTATCTTTGAGTCATTTATTTAGTATAGATCGTAAGCCGTATGTGCAATGCTATTTTTGCGCTCTTCTGCTTGATTTTAGTAGCCATCCTGATTGTTCCATTTTTTCTGTGTGTCCATCCTAGATTCCCAAAACCCCTTACTCCTATCTGATCTCTAAGGAGTTCTTGACCATGTTCCGGGAAAAGAAGTTCTACATCATGGGAGTTGTGGCTGTTTTGAACTATCTCTGTGAGTATCTTCAGAAGTCGGGCGCTTTCGAAATTTATTTTAACGGTATTAGCTAGATAATGTGTGTGTAACGCCTAGATAAGCTGGTGAGCAGCAAACTGGCCAGTGGCGATTACCCTGAAGAGGAAACCATTACGAACTTCATTGACAAACAAGAGTGATTTGTTTCTTCCAAACACGTTATTCCAATCCTCTCAATTCTGACAGTCGCTTGTTTATCTCTGTAACGTTCCGCTCGATCCACCGCAGCGAGTTGTAGTGGGCATCCACGATCGTGGAGAGATTGTCCTGACGACCTGTCGCTCCGTGTTCTCCCAGCCGATCCACGCGATCCTCGATCTCCTGCACGCCCTTCTCCACCTTCTTCACATCGGAGTAGAGCTGCGAAATCTGGGTATGGACAGACTGTGACTTGTCGGTAGACTGATGCGACGCATGATCCGAGTCCAGCTCCTTCTCCATTTTCTACGAATCAGCACAGAATAAAAAGACGCACAGTCAGAGAGTCTTCAAGTTGGTCTTGGTGGCGCTTGATGTTCATGAGAACTTCTTTGTATGTGCTCTGACGATGCTATTTGTAAGGAACGCAAGCTGGAATGACCTGGATGCTGGAAATGCTGGCTTCGAGCTTTTGCAAAAGTGTGAAGTAGTTCTGGATCTTCAGATCGGTATCTCGGACTTGTCTGCACATCGATACAAACTGGCCTGCCTGTTTCTCTAAAGAAGTGTTCCAGCCTTCTAAGACCTCGCGCAATGTGCTCGTTTTCATGTCTACTAATAATATCTATTGCATCCAAATGTACCATCGGAACTGAAATCAGGAGTAGGGGAAACAGATTTGGGCGTTTCTTCAGACTTTGGAGCTTCTCCTGGCTTCGCAGCATCCGCAGGCTTCGCTCCGAAACTAAAAGCGGGCTTCGAGGCATCTCCAGGTTTGGCAGCATCACCCGCACCTCCGAAACTAAAAGCAGGCTTTGAGGCATCGGCAGGCTTCGAGGCATCAGCAGGCTTTGAAGCGTCAGCCGCACCTCCGAAACTAAATGTGGACTTAGGGGCATCAGCAGGCTTCGCAGCATCAGCAGGCTTCGCTCCGAAACTGAAAGCGGGCTTCGCAGCATCAGCAGGTTTGGCAGCATCAGCAGGCTTTGCTCCAAAACTGAAAGCGGGCTTCGAGGCATCTCCAGGTTTGGCAGTGTCGGCAGGCTTCGCTCCGAAACTAAAAGCAGGCTTGGCACCATCAGCAGGCTTTGAAGCGTCAGCCGCACCTCCAAAACTAAATGTGGACTTAGGGGCGTCAGCAGGCTTTGAAGCATCAGTCGCACCTCCGAAACTAAAAGCGGGCTTCGAGGCATCGCCTGATTTTGCAGCATCTCCAGGCTTTGCTCCAAAACTAAAGGCAGGTTTGGCAGCATCGCCTGGTTTTGTAGCATCTCCAGGCTTCGCTCCGAAACTGAAAGCGGGCTTGGCACCATCAGCAGGCTTTGAAGCATCAGTCGCACCTCCAAAACTAAAAGCAGGCTTTGAGGCATCAGCAGGCTTTGAAGCATCAGCAGGCTTCGCTCCGAAACTAAATGTGGACTTAGGGGCGTCAGCAGGCTTTGAAGCATCAGCAGGCTTCGCTCCGAAACTGAAAGCGGGCTTCGAGGCATCTCCAGGTTTGGCAGTGTCGGCAGGCTTTGCTCCGAAACTAAAGGCAGGTTTGGCAGCATCGCCTGGTTTTGAAGCATCAGCCGCACCTCCAAAACTAAAAGCGGGCTTGGCACCATCAGCAGGCTTTGAAGCGTCAGCCGCACCTCCGAAACTAAAAGCAGGCTTTGGAGCGTCAGCAGGCTTTGCAGCATCGGTAGGTTTCGCGGGATCAGCAGGCTTTGCTCCGAAACTAAAAGCGGGCTTTGTAGCATCAGCAGGCTTTGAAGCATCGCCAGGTTTGGCAGGGTCTACAGGCTTCGCTCCGAAACTAAAAGCAGGTTTGGCAGCGTCGGCAGGTTTCGTAGCATCAGCAGGCTTTGAAGCATCACTTATACCTCCAAAACCAAAAGCAGGCTTCGCTGTATCTCCAGGCTTTGAAGCGTCAGCAGGCTTTGAAGCATCTCCAGGCTTCGTTCCAAAACTAAAAGCAGGCTTCGCAGCATCGGCAGGTTTCGCGGGATCAGCAGGCTTTGCTCCGAAACTAAAAGCGGGCTTCGAGGCATCAGCGGGCTTTGAAGCATCCGTATTAGGAGTAGTTTGCGTAGTACTATTATTGCTGGTATTTGTACCAACTGGATTGTTAACACTGTTCATTTGACCAAAGCTAAATCCGCCTCCAGTATTAGTATTGTTTTGACCAAAACCACTTCCAGAGTTCGTATTGGTATTAGGTTGGTTCGCACCAGCAGCTTGACTATTATTGTTTTGACCAAAGCTAAATCCGCCTCCAGTATTAGTATTGTTTTGACCAAAACCACCTCCAGTATTAGTATTGTTTTGACCAAAACCAAAGCCACCTCCAGTATTAGTATTGTTTTGACCAAAGCCGCCTCCGTTATTGGCATTGTTTTGACCAAAGCCGCCTCCAGTATTAGTATTGTTTTGACCAAATCCACCTCCATTATTATTACTATTGTTTTGACCAAAACCAAAGCCGCCTCCATTATTGGTGTTGTTTTGACCAAAGCCGCCTCCGTTATTGGTGTTGTTTTGGCCAAAGCCACCTCCATTATTGGCATTGTTTTGACCAAAGCCAAAGCCACCTCCATTGTTATTATTGTTCTGGCCAAATCCAAAGCCACCTCCGTTATTATTACTATTGTTTTGACCAAATCCAAAGCCACCTCCAGTATTAGTGTTGTTTTGACCAAATCCACCTCCATTGTTGTTTTGACCAAAGCCGCCTCCATTATTGTTCTGGCCAAATCCAAAACCACCTCCGTTATTGGTGTTGTTTTGACCAAAGCCGCCTCCATTGTTGTTTTGACCAAAGCCACCTCCATTATTGTTCTGGCCAAATCCAAAGCCACCTCCGTTGTTATTATTGTTCTGGCCAAATCCAAATCCGCCTCCATTGTTATTACTATTGTATTGACCAAGGTTCGTTTACTGTTAGAGCTACTTGTAGATGAAAGG